GAGAGGTGGGTGGCGGAGGCAGTGACTGCCCGGCTGCCCACATCGGGCCGTGAATCAGCCCAGCAGATAAAATGTACAGGTGTGCGTGCTGATGAGAATTTCAGCAGCTGTTCAATTTTACTTCGGCCTTCTTAAAAGTCTGTCTCGTAGAATCAGCGAGTCGCTATTGAAAGCAGATACAGAATGCTCAAAGCTGTTGCAATTTCATATAGCCCGTTAACATTTGCATTTATGCTTACTTTCTGTAGTGCCAGTTAAATTATTTGTTTAGTAGTTTATTTACTTAAGCTGTGCCTGGTATGACTGGTTTCAGGTTGTGACTGAACTGAGATCTATACAGTTGAAAGTTGGGCAACGTCTGTAATTTGAGCTTACAGGAAACAGGGCAATATCCCATATATGTACTTACCCTGCTGGGCGTTCTGCAAGGCCCCATTTGTACAGTTCCACACGGCTCCCTTGGCCACCTCTAAGTTGCTGCTTTTCACCTGTAAGTAGTTTTTCAGATAAGATGCAGCATGTGCATCCAGTGTCATCCCTTCTGCCTGTGGATGTGGCCGCAGGAGCTGTGGAGCCGGAGGAAGGGTTGTGTTTCTTCCACAGCATGCCCCTGCCTCTCCTGGAGAAAAGCGGAGACTGGAGGAAGCCTCCAGTGGAGCATCAGCGGGATTGTGCTGTTTGTGCTTCAGAGCCACAGCCAGCCACTGTAAGGATCGTCAGCAGGTTGCTACCTGAGATAACTTTATTTTTTAGTGAAGTCATATTTCTGCTAGGCTGGTTTGGAAGCATTTTGACAGAACGTTCTACTGATGTTTCAGCTGATGTAGTAGGATGTTATATGCGTGAGTATTCAGAAGAACAAGCACTTAGTTTGTGAAGACAGAGTATCAGTGTGCTGTAGTGACAGATATGTGCTTGGTCAACTTTTAGAGTGACTAAGTCTTGTAGAGATCCTAGGATATTGAACTGGAGCACTTTAACAAAAGTAGTTAAAAAGTGTCATTTTGTGTCTTTGTCCTGAATATGATATAATTTTAAGATGATAGCATTTTGGGTTAGTCAAGTTTCTTAGACTCTTCAACTCAGAAACAGAGCCCAGGTCTACTGATGAGCCTGCTTTCCTGCCTACTGTTGTTCTGGCTTCAGAAATACATGTGCTAATCTGGCTTTTCCTGGTCTTTTAGGCTGTTAAAAATGGGGAACACAAGCAGTGAGCGAGCTGGACTGGAGCGTCATGGGCATAAGGCATCCCGAGGTGACAACTCAGGAGGAGCCATTAGTACGAAAGAGGGTGATAGACCAAAAATCTTAATGGACAGTCCTGAAGATGCAGACTTGTTCCATTCAGAGGAGATGAAGGTATTGCTGGTTTGTTCTTGTCTTCTAACATTACTAGCTTTGGGAATGCTGTCTAATTGTGGTGCTGTTAGCAACCTTCAGTAATTCTGTCATTGAGTTTACACACAAAACTATCTCCCTTGCTTCCTACGCTAAGGAGAGATATTGCATTGATGTGCAAGCAGGTATAATGAGAGTAACGTCATGGTTTCCAGCAAGAATTAATTGTAGAAAAACTAAAATGTAACTGGATCAAAGCTGTAAGTACAGTGCCCCAGCTTCCTTCGGATCCTTAATGCTCTTGTAGTCACTAGTGACATTTTACTTGTCTATTACTTTTCGTATTAAAGGATCTGATAACTGTTTTTTTTTTGTTCAGTATGAAATGGATTGTTAGAAACGTCTTGTCGTTTATCGTGTTTCATAAGAACATCTAACAGAAAATTACACTTAGATTTTGACTGTTTCCTATAGACAACTCATAATCTTTCTCCTAACTACAAATTTTGTGCCTGTGATATTTGTATAATCTAAATGCTTAACTGTATTTCTTCATAATTATTTTTCTCCCTTTTCTTATATCTGTGTATTTTGAAAACTCTTCTGAGCTCAAGTAATTTCTCTTTAACCTAATTTAGGCCTGAGAGAAGGGGATTATTTTGCCTCCTACTCTTTCTGCAATTTTGTAAGACTTTTAACATCTTTGCAGAATTTGTGCAAATTAATTTGTGAACAGCATCTAGAAATGCAGTTTCTAATCTCCATCTGGCAAAAACTGCTTGTAGACTTGTACCCTAGAGAATCGTGTCTGAGTGCAAAAATGCCTTCAGTAAAATATAGATTGTCTAAGTCTGCCAGGAAAGAATTCCTTTTGATTAAGACATTGTGCTTGTAGGCTCCATTGGAGAAAGAAGAATTCCTAGCTTGGCAACAAGATCTGGAAGTGAGTGATAAAAGTCCTACTCAAGCTCGACCAACAGTCTTTCGCTGGACTGGAGGAGGGAAAGAAGTTTATTTATCTGGGTCCTTCAACAACTGGAGTAAAATTCCTCTGACAAGGAGGTAACAAACTGCTGCTGCTATATCAGTGATATTCCCCATGGACTGACAATGCTTAGTGCAGTGAGAAAGGTGGTCAGTCAATAAGATTGGTATTGTGCTTGGATTTACCACTTTCCTGCTTCTCTTCTTGAGCCCTTGATGAGAATGTCACTTTTTGATTCTTGGGTGGCACAGGATGAAAGTTGAACTGTGTGCCAGTTTTGAAGGAGGGATTTGTTCACTAGGCACCATGCTCGAATGACACAAACCAACCTTGTTGTGCAGTCTGCTACCAGGGATAGAGTTGGGGTTATGTAAGTTGAAGTTGGTTTTAAGCGTAGCGTCTCTGATGGCAGGTGTACTTTCTTGCCGTATCATTGGCTTTTGTCCAGCTCAAAGGGTCCAAATTCTGCTTAGGAAATTCTGAGCCTGCAATCCCTACTGATAAACTACTTGAACGAGAGAATAAATTTGTGTTAAGGTACCAAGTGCTTTTTCCTGCCAGAGAGCTCTGGAGCTCTGCTTAATTTTGTACCTGAGTAAGTACTTCACTTAAACCAATGTTTTTTCAAACCTTTCAAACTTAATGGTTGGCAGAGAGGCTGCATTTAACTGTTGATGAGAGTCCTGTTGTCTGTCAATGATGACATATCCATGGAAGATGTCTCTTGCCAATTTCTGGTGTGTTTTATATCAGTGAGTGGCTACCTGCATTGTTGCAGAAGTGTCTTAATTTTTCAGGAAATTTGAGAGAGGAGCATAGTGGCCTGATGAAATGGTATGGAAGGATTGTTCTGTGCATGAACAATGTGAAATAAATTATCAAGACAGGAGCTGGAAAAAAGGCCAGTGGAACATCAGTATTACTGTCATATTCTAAGTAGAAAGCCTGGGAGATGGGAAATGGTGAAATGAATCTGGAAGGAGGACAAAAATGTCTCTTTAAAAAAAAAAAAAAAAAAAGACAGGCTTGTCTCTTGTCAAATTAGGTATTCTGGGAAAGGAGATACTTGGACCTCCTTAGAGGCTGGATAAAATCATGTTACTGAATCAAATATGCCCAAGTAAAAGAGTTCATTATTTCAAATCCAGCTCTGTGGTGATATGCTTGCACTCCTTACCTGAGAAGAAGTAAAGAGAGATACTGGCATTGTGTGGCCTGTTTGAATTGTTCACATAGAATCAACTGTTTCTCAGCTGTTTTGAGATGCTGGTAGAGACTTCTGAAGAATTAGGAAGTTCACAGCACAGGAGTATCAAAATCACCAAGCAGCAGTTATTCAGACACAAAGTAACTCAGAAGTATTGAGTTGCTGCTTTTATCTTCTAGTCGTTGTTCATTTGTTTCATTGGCATTTGTGTAATGCAATTTATGATGGCAAATTCTGAAAGGCAAGGAAATAGGAGTAAGCTGATCTTGTTCTATCAGCAGGAGTCTCACAGATAAAATGAGGTCTCATGCACTAACAAGTCATGTGAAGACGTGAGGATGACTTTACAAAAGCTCAGTGCCAATTCCTTGATGCCTGGAATGTGATATTTAGATATGTTGGGAGTTAGTGTCACAGAAGAAATGATCATTAACATTAACCTAAGTTTGATTCTTTACCTTTAGATTGCATGAGATTGTGTTAAACGTGGCACTGCTTTTTAAAGTTTTGCATGTTAAGAAGGTTTGTATTCTGCATTACGATGTTTGTCACAGTTTATAGATTGACATACTTTTCAGAATATTTCAGGGCTGATTGTTTGTGTTAAATTCTAGTCACAATAACTTTGTGGCAATCCTGGACTTGCCTGAAGGAGAGCACCAATACAAATTCTTTGTGGATGGGCAGTGGACACACGATCCTTCAGAGGTAATGTTTTTTTCAACTTGCTGTATGTATCATTGAGGCATCTGAAGATGAGAAACTGGCTGGTTTCTCTACCAATAGCCAGCCTTTTCAGAGAAAAGGTATTGGTTAACAGCAGAAACAGACTTTTTAAGCTGGTGAGAGATGTTTCTGATCCCAGCTGGCCTCAGTGGTGATATCACACTGACAGCATCAAAGGACAGATTTTGTAACAAACGGGTGACAAGATCTCTTGGGTTTTGTTCTATAAGAGATGGTGAGCTTGTCTTGTCTAGTGCCAAATTGTCTTTTAAAGCACTGTAGCATTGCTGACAGCCTAAATCTCTCTGTGCTGTACTTGCTATCTGTGCTAGAGTGTTGCTATTGCTGCTCTAGATATTTTATAGTCCAGTAATTGTGCCAAAATCCACCAGGCCTTTTCCTCCTCCTCTGCTATAAAATGAGCTCTAACCCTAGCCCACTCAGCAGTCCCTACCTGCTTCCAAGCTAATCATTTACAGTTGCTGGTTCCAGTCTTCTCGCTGTCTTGGCAAAACTTGCAGAACCTCACAGAATTTACCTTGCAGTAAACTTAGCTCTTAGACCCTCTGCCCTGGATTCCAGTCTTAGGTTTAGTAGTAAACCAGCAATACTAACCATACTCTGTCCTAAATGAGGCTATGCAGATCTTAGCCTGGCTCTGAAAGCCCTGTAGAAGGTAAAAGTAAAGCTTGTGTCCTAAATGTTACCTTCAGCCCAAAATTTATCTCAGCCTTATCTATAGCCCAAGAATTTATCAAGTGCTGTGGACCTAGTAGGTTCAACTGACCTGCATCCCCCCCAGGCCTACCTCCTGCCCTTGCCCTTGACCTGACACTAACTGAGCAATGGTGAACTCTTTTCATATCTGGTACTAGCATATTTTAAATGCAATATATCTCATTCTTGGTAATGCTGTGTAGCATTGTGTAGTTTTGAGAATCTAATGATCCTGCAAGCTTTTTTATTCTGACTTTCGCATCTTGTTTCTTCCCAGCCAGTAGTAACCAGCCAGCTAGGCACCGTCAACAACGTCATACAGGTCAAGAAAACTGACTTTGAAGTATTCGATGCTTTGATGGTGGACTCCCAGAAATGTTCAGACATGTCTGGTAAGAGCATACTGTTAATTTTATATCATACTTTTTAGAGCTGTTAAAAATCCAATCTTCCTTTTTGTCTGAAGTTCAAGCTCCAGTATAGATTAATTTCCACTTTTCGTCAGGCCCTGTGGATGTGTGCAGGAATCACAAATGCACGAAGGAAGAATGTGGAATGCATAAAGGAGGAATCCTCTGACAGAGCAACACAGGTCACTGTAGATCTGATTAGGAGGAAGCCATGGGTGCTTAATAGCTGTTTGTTTGCCTGTGCGATGTGAAATGGCTGGCTTTGGTGCACTCAGTGGTGGATCAGTCTCTACCTTACAACATCAAACCAATGTCGCCAGCCTGCACTGCTCCTAATGCCATCTTTCTCTGCTAAGGAGATGGGTTCAGGAGGTCAGAAGTTGCACATAGAGATAGAAATTAGGTGCATCTTAATAGTGCTAATAGAGGCTCAGGAATATGTCATATTCTCTCAGTTTAGTGTAAATGATCTATATCTTAGAGTAATATAAAAATGCTGGGTTTGCCTTAAGTTTCATATCCTAGTGTAACAGAAGAGAGGTACGATTTAGCTTCAGTGATCTCTGAGATCAGCCTTGCCACCTCTTCCTTATAGACCTGTGTAGGGATGGAGACTATGATTGAAATAGTGCCTTAAATCCTTCTTCAGAAGAGCTGTCCTTTGAATTTGAGGCAGGAGGTGTGTTTGGTTGTATTTTGCTATGTGCCACTTTCCCCTGGACAAAGCTTTTTTCGAGAAAGAGTGCGATTTGTGAGACT